CACTAATTGCCCTTGTCAATGGCTAACCCTGCGCTCGACCCCAGGCTCTCTCCCTGTCTGTGTGTCTCATGGAGAGCAAGCTGGGGTATGCGAAAAGATAATTCCTAATTTAAGAAATTGTAAAGGGTTAATAAAGTGATGTTGTTGTTGTTGTTGTTATATGTCAAACTAAAATTGAGTACTGTATTTAATTGAAACTAAAGTATTTTACTGTATATACAGTACTACTGTTTTGGTGGTGATTTCTTTGCCTTGATAACCAAACAGAAAAATAAAAAAACAAAACCATACTTGTTTCAATTTTGAATTTCATATGAAACTTATTTTATTTTAATTAGATTATAGACATAATGTGATTTGAATATTTAACCCCCATGGAAGATGGGAATAAAGAATTATTTGTTTTTGATCAAAAGGATCTAGCTCTTAAACGAAAAAAAAAAAACTGCTTTCTGATAATGGATGCTTGCTTTTGAACTTTGTATTATGAATACAATCTGCACTTTAAAAGGTAGAATATTATGGACCAATAAATTGAATACAATCTTACACAAAATGTCTTGTAATTGTCATAGCACACCTACTGGGTTCAAACAATGAACTTCAGAACAAATGACAGTCTTGTTAAGAAAACACAGCATGATTTCTAAGAAAAGTAGTTGCATGGTTATATATAATGAAAATAACAGAAAGACAATACAAAAACATATTGCAAAACAATAAAGACTAAAAGGAAGTGTCCCAAAAGCAAAGCTACAAGTCATTATCCCTTTGCAAAACTGCAGCTTTAATGAAGTAGATTGTGTGAAACTGTCATATTGGTAGCTCATTAGATGCAGTGAACTTTTCCCAGCTGAACCATTAGCAGATAACTGCCAAGATTTGTTATTCCTTGATAAAAATATATATATATTTAATTACAGATACACAAGATTTATACATTTTAAAATGTACAAACATAGCGTTGAGTGGAAGACAAGTATTGAGTATCTACTGTATGTGCAAGATTTGAAGTACGTTACCTCGCTTCTATCAGTACTCTACAGCAATTCTGCAGCACTAATTTACTCTACATTCCTTTATCCAATACATCGCAAGTGGCACAACAGTACATCTTTAAGTCACCCCGAGAATAACTACAGCACCTATAAGCTATACAGCTTTAAAAAACTGTAATACTTAAAACATTTCAGTTTATATAACATCACTTTATTAGCCCTATACAATTTCTTGCATTAGGAATTAGTCTTTTCGCATAGCCCTGCTTGCTCTCCATGAGAAACAGACACACAGACAGGGAGAGACGCTTGGGGTCAGAGCACAGGGTCAGCCATTGTACAGCGCCCCTGGAGCAGTTGGGGTTAAGGGCCTTGCTCAGGGGCCCAACAGAGTAGGATTCCTCTGCCGGCTGCAGGATTTGAACCGGCAACATTCCAGCCACAGGCGCAGATCCTTAGCCACAGAGCCACTGCTCCGCCTCACGTTTGCCAAGTAGGTTGCATAAATAAACTATTCAAGTCAGATAATTATCATTTCAAGCACATGCATGTTCTATGACAGTGACACACAATGCATTTAAGTCGTGAAAAACCACAATTAATGGGGTTGTCACTCAATATTTACATGCTGTGCTAATATTGCATTCACAGGAACAGATGTAATAAAACTAATTACTACCAAATAACTAATTTTGATCTGGCTTGAAGGAGAGATGCACAAGTAGAGCCTTAAGACATTAAAATTGCTTGTTGTTTCTGAGAATTCGCATGTGCTGTTACAAAACATCCTCAATGTTTAAGCACCTGCACCAACAAATTATTTGTTTACAGTGGCAAAACTAAATAACTTTACCAAAAACACAAAAGTCTGCAATACATCACCCATTCAAACCAGAGGTTCATTCCATCTATTGAACTGCTAAATACATTGAAAAAAATACAATAATTTACTGCACCTTCACTAACAATTATTGTATTTATGGTCAAACAGTCATCAGGAAAGTTATGTTCCTTAGCAAACTAGTTATAGCCTTAAGTTTATGGCTGTTGTTAATTTAAATACCACAAAGATTCTCATAGGAGTCTATGTGTTGTTGTACAAATAACTGTGAAAGTCAAAAGTCAGACTTTTGTCTGATGTGTCTGATTTTTATTAAAAACGATTTGCTGAGGAAATTGTCACTTTCTCAGGGTTTCGTCATGCAAGGAAGCAGTTTTGCACAAGGCTACTGGTGCATTCACAATTACTTGCCCTAAAGTTTTCCATGAAGTGGAAAATGATGTGGTGAGACAGTCTACGTACCTAATTGTCTTTATGCCCAGGGTGTCACTTCAAGCAAGTTGACTGTACTGAACATACATCAATATCATACTCTACTGTCAGTCATTTTAAATTAGTAATACTATGTCTTACTCTACTGTAGGAATTTGTAATTGAGAAATTAATATAAGGATCTGCTAGACCAAAGACCTAGATGATCAGGAATGTCTGTTGTAAAATGAGGAGATAAAATTTATCTTCCCCATTATTAGTATTGTGTGAAGGATTTTTGAGAAATTTGGAAATATTAACATTTTTTTCTATTAATGTTAGCTTTGTAAAAAAAGAAGACTTTTTATTAACATTTAGTGGGGAAAAAAGCAGTGCCTAAGTTCTTAAGCAAAACAACATAAGGATCAAATCTGACAGCACAAAACCATAAAGGATAATAAATACATATTGAGTGGAATTAAAAGTGTAACACACCCTATTGGTTCCAATAGCTTTAAAAAAAATAAATGTATTTCCTATCATTATGATGACAATTTCCTCAACTACATCTGCCTGGACTCTAATATCAGAGCAAACATGGGATGGTTTTACATTAAGCTTTAGCAAAACAGCACTAGGAAAGAGAAGGTTTATTCAATATTGAATTATTAAAATCTAATAATTTTATTTCAAGACTTAAATCCGGTTTGGCTTTATCACTTTTGATCACAAAAATGAAAAGCATATTACAGTCTCTGCAATTCTGAAAATTGTGCTACAGACACAGCCATCTAGAATGCACATCAAAACTTACACAAGTGGAAAATGCTCTGCAGTAATCCACAAACTTGTCTGGCATACCACTTTCAGCCCTTCACTGCTCAACAGATTGTGCCAACAGTGGTGGTACTTGTGTCATGTTATATGTTATGGAAATGTAGTTTTTGTAGCCTAAATTGATAAAATTATGTATCAGAATATTACCAGCTATTTCATAAAACCCCTGTTAAATGGTATTCACTAATGTGAGGCCGGGAAACTTTATGAATGTACGCAAAAACTGTTTTAACGCAAACACGACTTTCCTCATTGCTCAACACACTATTATTTAACTCCAAGTCGTCAATACAGTAAAAAAAAACTGCACCATTGTTATCAATGTGTATCGGTTTAAGAGATTATCCTGTTAACCCCCTAGCCTTCTAGAGGCCATTTCCACCTGGAATGGCTATGCCCTTAACATTTTGAATTTAATTGGAAAGTACAGACAGTACAGGCCTGGTTTAGGGCTTGAATTCAAGGTAACCGCATGGGCATCAAGTCTAAAACATCACATTTTTTAGATACATCTTACTCAGTACATATCATTATTGGTGAGATAGAGCCACTGTAGTGGTCTCAGATCCATTTATCTACAGTAAGCAATTTTTAAGTTTGCCTTGTTTTATCTTAGTTAATTAAGTTCTGGATTAATTATTTATGGCCAAACAACAGTCCAGAAAGACACTATAAACCAGGCAAGTACAGAAAAGAGCAGGGAAAGTAAAGGGGAGAGAAAGAAGATAGAGGGTGAAGGAAGAGGGAAAGCAAAATATCAAAGATGAGAGCTCCTTATCCAGATCACCTGGAAAGACCAGATTGAAGCTAAGTATTTGAACCCTGTTAAGTTTGCTATTCTGTTGTTGTAAGGAACTTTGATTTCCTGTGTAAAGAATCCCTCTGTTAAAATAAGCCTATACTGGTCAGTGGGTTTATTTTTTAAAATAAGGATATAGGTTCCCATTTACTTTGTGGCATCAGGGTTTACAGTGAGAAAGATTTAACCACAGGTTTTATTGTGTTAATCCCTTATTGAGCTAAGGGAAAACCTCTCAGCAGAGACATGTTAATGAGACAAAATTAGATAAGAAATTAGTCAACTATTATTTCTATATATATATATTATAACAAACAGCCATTTTATCCACCTCCAGCCATCACTTCTGTAATGTGTTTTACTGATGTACACAATCCGAGGAGAAAGAGTAGTCAGAGAACATAATATAGTACAGCTCATAGCTAATCATAGTTTAGTAGCTTCTTGGAGCTCGAAACACACTTTTTATCTTCTGACCACCACATATAAACCCTTATGTCAACCTGCAAAATCACTGAAGAACTGAACTGATAAGTTTTTTCTTCTTCTATTGTCCTTTGCTATTTCTTTAAATGAAAAAAAAAGATCTAATGGTTGTAAAACATCCATTGTGTACACTACAATTTAATCAATGAGCCACAAAAAAAATCTGCTTTCATAAAGAACTCTTTGTAGATCTGGACTTGATTTTAGCAGTAGGTACTTGATCTTTACTTCAACAGGAGAGGCTTCCATGAGGTGAAACATATAAGCATTTCAAATCTGGGATAATGCCATACTTTTAGTTTTAGATCATTACATATGAATAGCTAGTGTCTACATCTTAACGTATAGTTTTGAAATTACATATACTGTAGCACAGAAACATAAGACAACTGGGAAGATTTTAAGTTAAACTGAAGACAGGAATACAAAGACACAGAAAGGGAACTATGAGACACGGTCCACCAAGCTGGACAACACAAATTGGCCTGTCAGTCCTTGGGAAATCTCACAGTTAAGATGCTGTTATGGTGGTTTCTCGTAAGCACGCGGGTCACAATTCTCAACTGCTGCCATTTACAATATTAAGAGCTATAAAAAATGCTGAAATTGAAAGTAAAATAGTACTAACCTCTGCTGGCTTTGTCAACATGTTGAAAGTCATCCAGAAACTTCAGCGCATCGGGAAACCTTTCCTCACACATTTCAGCCAGAAAATGAAGCAGAGTTGTTTTTTGATCAGCTGATTTTGTGTCTTTGAGCTGAAAAAAAAAATAAAAAAGCAAGGTAAATCAGTAAGCAGTGAGAAAACAATTAAATTAGAAAAACAGTTTTCTAGAAGAAAATGTTATTCACATTTCCTATAGGAGTAATTACATTCTGGAAGGCATTAACCAGTGGGTCAGTCATGGTAGGAGATATTTTATCAGTACATACCTTAAATGAATACCATTATCAATAGATTTAACAAGATGTCTACACCTTGTTGACAGAGTTGTGAATATATATAAAAGAAGTGACAATATAAAGGAGAATAGAAGTTAATCTTAATTTGTAAAAATACTTTTTATGTCAGATTAATTTGATGTAAAGTTATACCTTTATACTGTACTGTATACTGTACTTTACGATCACACTAATCTCTCCCTCTGTGTTCTCAAAGATGGTTTTCAGAAAGGCTATAGAAACTAAAATTATCCTGCAGCTAGGATCACACCTTCCCCCTTCTCTTAACGACAGACTACTTTTCTTCTAAATTTTCTCTATTCGTTGTAGATTTTATTTCACACCTCTCTTCACCCATCCTGACTTCGCACCTCTTGATTGGCCTCTCTTTCTGTCCCCTGCTCCCGCCTCTCACTTCTCCTCTCTCCCAGTTTTCGTTCTCCCGCTACATTACCTTTGCTTACAGCCCTGTCTTTCTCACACCTGAAGAAGGCTCCACAGCCGAAACGTTGTATTTTCTTTTCTTCTTTTCAGTATGGAATAAACCTATTGTTCCTTTGCAGCCTACGCATGCTGATGCAGCTACCCACCTGAACTACTACAGCCTTTATACCGTATGTTTATATTGTAATGTGCTTGACAAGGTGGCTGTCTTAACAGAGCTGTACTTGTTAGGAAAAACCACTGACCTAACTCTAATATTAATTCAAAAAGAAAGTAAACAAGGCAAACAAGCAGTAGTGTACGAGAACAAAAAAAACTTTAACAGCTAATACACCATGGAGCAGTACATGGAATAAGCAGTTTCTCCACGTATGGTGCCGGGAATAGCAAAATACTACTAAATATCACTGTTGCATAAGAGTTGCTTTTAACACGTAGACCTAGTAACTAGTGGGGTGTAAAATACCCATTGCCATCTGCTCAGTTTGTTCTTAATTGTGCCTTGAACATGGAGATGCACTGCCATGCTCGCATGAAGAACAAACAGTAAAATGTCAAAAGGGATCATTAAAATGCAGAAAATCATACTGAGTTACCTAAAAAAAGAAAAAAAAAATACTCATAATTAAGACTCAAAGGTCAACAATATATTTAAATAGATGTTCAAGACTAGCCTATAATACAGCTAGTGGCAAAGAGAGAAGGACAAATGCTGCATTTTCATGTATCAAATATATTCATTTGATATACTGTAGATGCTAGAATTGCATATACATGTGCATAAGAACATAATAGAACTGCATGATATCCAGGCTTCCAGGATCCTAAACAGTACTCCATTATCCAACCTGAACTTTAATTCACAGGAAAATACATTACAAAAAGTTCACATAATTGGAAAAAATTAGGAACTGACTGAAGAATCACACTTTAACTTTTAAAACTTACATTTCAAATTACATTTTGAAATCCAAACATCCAAGTTTCAAAAGCTTGATACTAAGAAATATTTGTAATATTGCATACTTCCAGCTATTAATATTTTTTGGCGTTACGGAGTTTGTGATAAGCACTGAAGAAAGATATAAGATGTGAAAAAGGGGTTAACTGATTTCTTTCTGTACATAGACTTCTTGTGACACACGACATTTCATGCTTAGGGACCTTTAAGTTATGGCAGGGATGGGAGTTAATTGATAAGAAATTCCAAGTGCAAGCTAGAGACCCCCTAACGGTTTTAGGAAAGATAAAACCGACCATTAAAAGTGTCCAAGGTCTTGGGAATGTCCAAACACAGGTGGTCCCCCCATCACCATGGCATCAATTTGCATCAGAAGCAGCTGAAATTTGCTATATAAACTGGAAGTTTTGTACCTGTATTCCAAACAATACTTTGGTCTTATTGTTCCTTGCATGTAATAAACTCAGTTGTTTAAATGTGATCTTGGGATCCAGAACGTATTTGTCTGTTACAACAGCACATTTAAGAAAAGGCTAACAGGTGAAGCCTGAGCTGAACTGCATTCAATAGATCTTTTTTCAACTGACAAAACTAATTAGAAATTATTTTCATCCCTCGACTCATGTAGATCAGAATAATAATTCACAAACGAGAACAAAAACATCTAAGCAATATGTTTATTTCTCACTGGAGTAGACTACTGAATAATTAATACAATGAATATGTAAACAGTCTATATAGCTATTTATTGAATGAAGGTTTAAGATTAGAATTGCTAAGGTTAGAATTGTTTGATGAGTGAATATCATGTTTGAGAACAAAAGTTCAGAGCAGAGGAGGCCTAGTTGAAAGTTTCTTAATTACCAGAATTAATTCAAAAAATTATTGGTTATTTGAAAGAAGCAACCAAGCCTGTTAGAAACGTACTTTTAACATTTTTTTCAAAGCAGTTAATTACACATATGTATTTTTTTATTTTTTTAAAATCAAGTTTTTGCAAATTTGCATTGCTTGATTTGTACTAAATATGCAAGGCAAAAATAAACTTGGAAATTGATTTTTGGTTCTGTTATTGCTGTTGCTTTTTCCTTTAAAATTGTATTTAAATAAAAAAGTAAATGTATACTGTACATTAAAATAATCTTTTAAGTCTTGAAAAAAAATTAATCAACCCTTAATTTAGGCCAGATAGATCAGATAGTCACCTCACAGCCATAAACATTCTAATTCTAATTGACTTTCAATTTTAACTTCTCATTTCTACTTTATGTCTGCAAAATTCAAAATCCCCTTTGCCTGATCTCTACTGAACAGATCTTGCTTTGCTTCTTCTGTTAATAGATTATAATACTAATACAAAAACAAATAAACAGAAAATAACAAAAAAAATATCACTGACAGGCAAATTAAAACAAGAACAGTCAATTTAATCTGTTCCTTCTAACATTTACTTATAAGGACACTTCAGGGAAAGCATTTTCATAGTGTGTGACTTTAAAATAAATGAGATTTCTTGCCATGCTTTTAATATATGAAAACATTTCCCTGTCCATGCCTTGTCAAAATGTATATTGTACTATATTACTTAGGGAGATGTTTATCATTACAATCTGCAGCTCCTACCTTGTGGAAAATGTGACTTATTCCAAAGCATGTGGCTGCTATTTCCTATCATGACAATGCTAGAGAGCCTCCTATCTTTTTTTATGACTATTTTGGAAATGCTGTTTTTAATCATTTGAAACAATTTTAATTCTATGCTGAGAAAAACATAAAAAGCATTTAGTGATTAACTACAATGTAATTCTAAATGAAAATGTTACAAAATAAGACATAATTGCTAAAATATATGAATATAAAATATTTATTAAGGAGAATTTCTTTATATACAGAAAAATACTGAGAAAAACGTAACTGAAGAAACTGAACCCAATTGTTTTGATGAATCATTACACTGAAAAATTGTATGTGTAAGAAAAATCCTGCAAATGCACAAATACGTTTTTCATTATTACCCTTATATGTGTATCGATAAAATGGACTTTTAGATTTGGCTTCAACACAAATCTTGTAACCTGCATATCACACAAATCATATTAAAACCTAGTTAACATTTACTATTGGATCACTATTTGCTCAGCATAGAAGGACAAAAGAATTATGGATGTACAAAGTTCATGGCTTCATAGACAAAGATGAACTTGTTTAAATGGGTGTTGTTTTTAGGTGATCAAAAGCTTCCTTGTTTTGTGCTAATAAAAAATCTTAAACAAGAAATCAAAAGGAAAGTGATTTGTATTTGACAACTTAATTAGAAGCCAGACTCAAAAACTGTACCAGAAATGGAAAAATAAAATATATAAAAAGTAGTGAATGTTTAATAGTTAATTACTAAATGTTTAGTAATATGATCACAATTCTGTATCATGTTAAAATACTTAGTTTTATAGAATTTAAAATTAAATGATCTACCATTACTAAACTTTTTGGCTTACAGAGTGCACATTATTTTCAAAATATCCTATAGCTCTGATAAACAAATGAAGTAAAAAAAACGTGCACTGCATTGATTTTATGGCAAAAATATCTATGGCTACAATACATAAGCAATAAGCACACAACCATTAAGAAATTTTAGGCTTGATTCATGAAAGATGGACGAGACCATCAACATTGGTCACCAAGGTAATTGTATTGCACTGCTGGAGTCAGAATGTCAGAAAATAAAAGGCCCAGACTGCCAAAAACCACAACTGTTGTGGCTTCCCAATTTATTTTGTTCAGAGGCACAAATGAACCACCACAGTGAACATGCAGTCGGAAAAAAAAACTAAACAAATACAAACAAAAAAACGAATGTAATTTGAGGCATATTTCAGTCACTATAAACTGCAACTAAAACTAACACAAGTGCTTTCTGCCTGAGCAATCACAGCAAATGCCAACCTTGATGTGTGGCTCTGTGGTAGCCAAATGTGTTGTGATACCACTCTAACATACTGTATCTGGGTGTTATCATGATCATGAGTCTGATCTTCAAGCCCCACATAAAATAGACCTTTGAGGAATTAGCTTATCTCATAAAAGGGCTTTCCTAAGTAGAGGGGTAGTCCTGTGAAGATGGGCTTGAGCCTGGGTCGAATCAGTAGCTGAGTGCGACCGGGATTCACCAAGCAACCACGAATAAATGGAAATGTGAAATCTCGAAGAGGGCTGTTGTCAAGGGCTTTCTCAACTCTAAGCGAGGCAGCCTCCCCGGTGCTTACAAGCATATGATGCCGTCAGTTAGGACGCAACTGTCCTCCAAATGGCAATGAACCTACTGTAAGGGGCTGTTCTGGAATTGGTAATTCTATACTGGATGGGCATTACAATCGTTCTTGGCAACTTTTGAAAACCTAAAAAAAATCTGATTAAACCAAGAGTCAGCAAGATCTTGCAGGATGAACCTGGGGTGCCTTAGCTGATATGATGCAAAAAGCCACTCTATCAGAGATCCACTCACCAAGAGAACACTATGCCTACACTTTGGCAGCTCGTACATAAAACTTCTACATATGCAACTGAATAAAGGGATGCATTAATTATGCCAACAGTATAATTTACAAATCTTCTTGTAAATTTAATTAAGGAGAAATCATAAGATATTGTGGTCATACAACTCAAACTATGGATCATATAATGAACCGATGTCCTGTGAAGAAATAGTAGTCATGCATTGCAAAAAACTAAAAATTAAAACTGAAATCACACGAAATCACCATTTTAAAGGTATTAAATCTTTTAAAAATAAATGCCAAAAATATGTTTAAATTATTACCACAGATTCTTTCAATGATGCTTAGCATACCAAATGTATAAAGGATGGTTGCATTATGTTTGTACACCTTAGGAGGCTCTGCCACACCACTCAGGAAACGGAGATCTGCAGGATTTCTATTGCATTTAAGCACCAATAAATCTGGTTCCCTTAACAGCTTTCCATTTTCTAACAGCTTTATCCAATATATTGTTACAAAGAAGCCAAAGTCTATTCCAGCAAGCAATGGGAGCCAGACAGGATACACTCTAGTTGGGATGCCAGTCAATCTCCGTACACACACAGATACAGACACGCATACATACACACCAGAGCAAATTTTCCCAGAAGACAATAAACCTACTGTACAAGTACTGTATGCCTTTGAAATGTGAATGGAAACCAGAGCACACTGAGGGAAACCACACAAACACACAGAACAAACCCCACACAGACAGCAGCCTAGGAATTGAACCCAGGGCCCCAGTGCCAAATTCTTACAATATCTTCATTAATTTGAACCCAGGACTAAACATTTTTAATATCTTGCATATTTTAAGGAGAGTAACTCATACCACCTGTATCTCCCTTCATTCATATTTACATTAAGTACAGTACAGTCTATCAAATATCACATATAAACATCAGAATGTTTGTACATTAAACTGTTATGTAATGTTCTGAGCACACTATGCAGATGTCATCTTAAACTGAAATGTTCTTTATCTGACTCAGTTTCTGTTTGTGCACTGAAGTTCTTGTGTTTTGTCTGTGTAACATGAAAGGGGTACAAACTAATATAAATTGCAAAACAAAACAGAGAAACCATGGAAAAACATACAAACATAAAACATAATTTAAACAAGTATAAAGGCTGCTTGGCCCTTCTTTTGTGCTTCTAACTGCTAGTGCTGAGACTCAAAACTACTTCTATCTTTCCCCAAAACTATGACTTACTTCACATCACACACTATCAGTATTCCTTGGTCTTACTATAAACTGAGAAGCAGGGTGAATTTAGTAACCTTTAGTAAATATCATCTATGTGTTACACATCTCCTTGGGGGGTATTTGGTGTCAATTTGCATGCATTAGCTGTCATTATCCTTCAGATGTAAATGGCCTGAACATGGGTTAACATTGTAATTTTCCCTTGTGCTGAATTCTGTTAGATCAGCCCTGCTGCTTTTAGTGAAGACTGGTTGTGTACCCAAGATCCAGGGGTGATTATGACATGCAAAATATTACTGCCATTAAGTGAATGAGGCCTTATATATGCATTGAAATATACAGACTAGATTTAATTAAAACAGGTTTTTCCAACCCCTGATCACAGTGTATTGGAGATGTAGCTTAAAGCACATAAATAGCCACATGAATTAGTAAGACCTTAGACATCTATACAATTCAATATATTGTATGGTGTAATAAATATATAAATACTATGAAAGTTTCTCTGTACCACAGACATCTAGTTTAATATTTTATTAATTTCTGATGATAAAACCAAAGCAAAGCAAGCCTTAGAGAAGGTCCAAAGAAGAGAAATTAGACTTATTTTCTAGGTACATGTTAGCAGAATTAACAATTACTTAAGAAATGTTTTTAGTAAAGAGGGAGGGATGCTTTGAGCAGTTCACAAGATCATGAATATGATTGTTCTACAGTACTAGGACTCTTAAAAGATGACTAATCAACTGACAGGCTGAAGGACAAGTTCAAATGCTCTTAATAGCTTAAGGTCTTTCCTGTCAGATCCTTACTTCACTTAGGGTGTTTTTAAGAACAAATTATACCATAAAACTAACAAGGTCTCCAAAATGAAAAAAAAAAAACAACAACAACTAATTTAATTATACTAATTTAACAATAATCCCTTACTTTACTGGTTCCATCTTTTCCAGAGTAACTTAATTAGAATTCTGAATGAGAAATAGTATTTTATATGAGCACTTTACTAGATTTTTGTCTATCATACTGTTTACACACTGCAGTTCCTTGTAATTCATAACGTGGCCCAGAGTTACTACACACCTTGGCAAACATGTTAAGAAAAAAACAACTTGCATTTTTATGCATATTACAATGATATTATTTTGTTTTGTAAACATTTCTCCTTAGCCCAATTAGGAATTTACATTTTTAATATAAAATCTTAATTTATGAAAATGTGAAATGTATCATACTGAACTACAGACTTATCACACTACCTTCAGTGGAGTAAAGGCATGCTGAATTGACAGTCTTCACATGTAATCACTCATTTTCCAGAGCTTCAGGCTATAGTCTACACAGTTCCTAATGTGGAGCACAAGTATTTTTAGTCAGAATGCCAAAAGGTGTCACCATAGCTCAATAACTCATTATTCATTGCCATATTCTCTGTTTTCCCAATGGAGAACAATTATACTATCAGACTAAATCTGATCCCATCTTAAGTAAAAATGTAGCACAAAGTCCAAAGACAATTTAGTATAACAGAATCTCACCTTGAAGCAGCCTATTTTCACAAAACAAAGTAATTTTTTTGACTGCTACTTCATGAATGAGACAATTTTAGATGTAAAAAAAATACAATAACTATGCAAACACTTACCTCTGGCAGTCACGGAAATATTTTTTTAAAGTGTATTTTGATAATCTATGTTTTACAGGAGAAAAGTAGAAGTGTATGCAGTGAATGCAATAAACATGGGACATGGGTATAACAATCTCATGCATTTAGGCATGCAAGATTTCCTCAAGGTCAGACACTCCTGAAATTCCTCTTCTATAACATACTGATTGTACTTATTGTAGTCTGTTAGTTATTGTTAGTCTTTAATGTCTTCAAAATGCGTAATTTCTGATCTTGCTTTTGACAAAAGGAAACTAAACATTTCACACTTTAAAATATTTGTTGATATTATTCTGGTTAATTGCATTTTATACTGCAAGTCAGCTCTATTCATCAAATAGATATGCTGCAATATAGTTTTAATCACATTATTTTTTTGTTTTGATGTGTGATTTTAGATTTGTTAGGTTTTGTAGTGTGCATGTCCTATGACAACAACTTTCCTTTCTTCCTGCAATCCAACAATTAGCTGTCTTTGCAAACCCTTAGCTCTCTCAGCAAGTGACAAGGTCCATTATCATGGGTACAGCTTATACCTAGTGGCTTCTCACAGAAATACATGCACAGGCATAACAAGATCTTTTTCCCAGTGAGACTGGGTTAGAGATTGCCTTTTTCCTTCCTTGGTGAGAGCCAGAAATGCCTGCTTCACTGTGAGAAGATAATTTTGACTTTATTACAATTAACTTGACAGTTAATTGATAAATGAGTGATGTTTTTAACAGCAGAAAATATATTTATGGTTGTTTTAAATATAATACTCCAATAGTACATTATTACTCTTATTTCGCTATCAAACTAGCCCAGCAGATGATAAAAAATATTTTTCTCCATGCTCTTTTTTAGTTTAAAGAAGATCTTACTTCAGCGTTTGACGTATAATACATATGCCTAACAGTTCCAAATATCAAAGAAATGTGTCACAAAAAACAGTGTTTTTCTAACTGGACCTTTCAAGGTCTGAGTTTAAGAGAATCAAGGACACCTCTTTGAAAAGCCTACAAAGATGTCAGTATACTCTCTGAAGTGGAGAGGATTTAAAGGATTGTTAACAGTGGAGAGATGCTCTTGCAAATGTAGCAACAGTACAGTACATACTAGGAAAACCAGACTCACTTTGCAAAGGGAGCTGAGGTCGAAACCATAAGACCGCGCATTTCGGGAGCCAGCATTCATGTAGTTTCCCATTAGCAGCACAAGCTCCAGCAGCTTCTTAAAGCTTTTACTTTTCCTTATCTCTTCACAGGCAGCATTCACAGCCATGATGCCAGGTTTGATGTTGTTCACCTGTTCTTCAAACTGCAGCTTGAATAGAATAGCATTAAGCCGTGGTCGTAGTCTCTTCACTCCACTCATCTGTTCAGAGACAAAATAGAAAAGTTGCTTTCATTTTATGTTCCAAAGTAAAGCAGTTAGTTAATCATTCTAATGCATATGGTTATTACCTCAAATCTTAAAATAACATCGTTATAATCTTATTTTGTTAAAAAATCACATCTTGTATATTGTGTTTTCTGAAGTTGAATTTGTGAAAATGTAAAATTTGCACTATGCAAAACCAGGTTGTCATGTTCATTTTTTAATTTAAAAGGTACATGGCATCACACTGAACAATGTATATCCTGAGCTCCAAAAGGCTGAAGATAAAAAATTCTGGAAACAAGACAGCAAATAGCTATTGCCATGAAAGGGAAAAATGTCATCGGTATTCAACTATGGGTAAGTAGTACCAAAAACCTTTTAAAACCTGTAGTAAAAAAGAGGCTAGAGTGAGGAAAGAGGAGGAATTAGAATCCTGTTTGTGATTACATGATTACAATCTTATTTTCACAATACCTAGTGACTAAGCAATAAAACATATGGTCTCACCATAGATCAATCTGTCATGTTACACAGCAAGTCCTGTGCATACAGAATAAAGTTCTCAAAATGATTACTCCCCAGCCTCCCAGGCAGGTTCAGCATCAATGGGCAGCTTTCTGTTATCCAGCCTGATAAGCCCCTGTCTCTTTTCCTAGACCTTGCTTATTTTTCATCTTTGAAGTTGCATAGCGGACCACTTCCTAAAAGTTTTAAGTTAAACATTGAAGTCATCCCGAGTGTCATACTTACATGATTATTACTTAGAATTCAACTATTTATGGCAATGCAGACAACATTCACATCAACATACAGTATTTGTGCTTTGATGTTTGCATGCAAAGGTACTTATAAAGTTATATTTTATGAATTGCCATTAAAACAACAGTACACTAATTGTGGCAATAAGCAAACAGGGTCATAAGCTCATGTCTATCATATCCCTTGGTACACCTTACCTCCAGGTTATTACATTTCTTGTCTAAAGTTTGCATGACTGTTGCTGGTGACCCATCTTTTGCTTTGCTAGTATACTTTGGAAGTCCCTATACTTCACACTTTTAACTGACACAGACACAGTTTGAAAAAAAAAAATGCCTCCAGCTACTTGGCAGTTTGGATGTCTTTCAGCCATTATCACTAATAGTTAGACAGAAACGAGATATTAAAACTAATCACAATGTTCAATGTGATTTTGCAGTCATGGTTGCCCGCATCACTGTTAAGGCAGCCTTGAATGTAATTTCACTTTGGAAAGGTTTTAGGATATGACTGCCAGGCAAATATGTCATAAAGAAATTGGTGAATACCTCAGAAATAACTGAGCCACACCCTCTCAGAAGCAATAGGAGCAATGCAAAGAAAATTAAGCCCTTCAGAACATGTTTGTCAATTATTACACAGGAAAGCGTCAACACCTTTTCTTGGCTTTAGTTCTAACTCTGTCTGGAGGGGAGGAGTGTATTATAGTGAAATACCTTAAAACATAACTCTTTTTTAAAAAACCCAAAACTCCAGGGAAGATCTGTTAGAAATGTATTTACATCAATACAAATAAAATTTAAAAATGGATATCTGCAAAACTGAATGAATTCTGAGACCAAGAGCATCTCTCATTTAGAAAAGCAAAGACAGGGAAAAATAAGTAAATGAACATGTGTAAGGAAGAAGCAAGTGCTAATGAAGAAAGGATAAAGTCAGGAACATTATGCTAACTTATACATCCTCATTATATCTCAACTTGCATCGAATCCACACAAAAAAAGGCAGAGATTGTGAATTTTGAAATGCAAAGAAAAAAAATTAAAAATATAAAATAACAGTTTTATATTTCAATAATTCTAAAGCGTGCTGGCATCTGCAGACAAGCTGTTTAACAGGTTAACTTATACCATAAATTTACAGACAGAAAATATTTTGAAAGTATACCCAGGAGCATGTCAAGATACCTTGAATTTCATACTGATGCTAAAATCTGTCATGCTATTTAGATTTATCTGCCAGGTTGTTGTCCACCGAGACCCATCCCTGGAGGCAAAAAGCCAATTAAAGTTTTCAGCTCTTACTTGTTTTGTGGAAGTGCAAATACTCAAAATTTTGAAACACCAGCTAGATAATTCTGTAATACACATGGTATAATAAGGTGAGGTCAGATGTTTGGGGGAAGTAATCATTTAAACAGAACATACTGAAAGTTCAAAACCATAAAAGGAGCAAGGCTTTTCAGCAGAAAACCTAACAAAACAACACAGATCTAAGAGCATTTGTCATGGGACAGAACACAGCCAGTAATTTGAAAACATGTTCATATTACATGAGAGTATGTTTATAAAAATCTTGTACAGTATATACAAACCCAAGGGGCATTTTAACTCGCATATCTAGATAGATAATTTTGTACTTGGTATGTTTTACTGAAAGGTGCATACAGTATTTTTAAATATGTCAATTTAAAGTTTTTAGCATCATATGTAAATTACTTATGCTGCTCTGTTTCTTTTGAGGGTAGGTGCTGTGTTGGACTTTTCTGAGCAAAGTGCAGTCATCATTTTTTTGTGCAATGAAGGATGCACAGTAAAACAAATCCATTGGAACCTGTTTGCTGTGTTAGAGGAAGCTGCCTCTCAAAATTCCACAATGGTGTGATGGGAAAGGTATTGCAACATGTCAGAAAATTGAACAAAGATGAGTTGATTCTGAGACTATCATTGCAGATCATTATTTACTAGGGATGCAAAGGGACAAGTAATAGGTTGATTCTATGCTGAAAAAAAGAAGAAAGAAAGCACAACATTTCGTCTGAGACCTGAAGAAGGCTCCATGGCCGAAACATTGTGTTTTCTTTCTTCTTTTTTTCAGCATGAAATAAACCTATTAGTTGTTCCTTTGCAGCCTACGCATGCTGACACAGCTACCCACCTGATTTACTAGGTATTATTAATTAATGTACTTCTATAACCTAACCCAAGCTGTTTTCTACTGTTTATTAGCTAACACATAGGAAAATGTCCTCTTACCCAAACCATCAGTTTGCATTAGGGTTATCTTTCTATATTTGCCTCTTCAAATGATTGTATATCCATCCATCCATTTTCTGATCAGGTCATTAGATTTAGAGTTGTAGGGGAGCCAGTGGCAGAACATGATACATCTTGGATGGGACACCGGTCCATTGCAGGACACACAGACACACACGCACTCCGACCAGGGACAATTTTCCCAGAAGCCAATTAACCTACCCATATGTCTTTGGATTGTGAGAGGAAACCAGAGCACCCAATGAAAACCCATGCGAACACAGGGAGAACATACTGTACAAACTCCACACTGACAGAACCTCCAAGTTTGGAATTGAACCCAGGACCCCAGTGCTGCAAGGCAGCGATGCTAAGCACTGTGCCACTGTCTCTCTCCACTTTGCAAATCACAAGTAATAAATGTTGATATCTGGCAAAACATTATTTCAGTTTAGCAAACAAACTTTAAACCTTAGAAAGCATTATTAAGTGCTGCTCAGAAAAGGCGTCATCTATAAAGTCAGTGATTAATGTACATACTGTACTGATAAGAATTTCAGGTTTGTTTTTACTTTCGCTTATGAAAGGTCAAAGCTTATTTGTTATAAAAGGTATGCAACAAAAGTTTGTTTTTAAGTTTACATGTGGCAGTAATACCATAAGACAATGTTTTTATTACATTTTTATGTTTTGAAACTTCTATAGCTAGAAATGTGTATCCTTTGCATTGTCGCGTGCCAGGTTGGGCTCAGGCTCCCCCCACAACTCTGTACTGGATGAAGTGGTTTAGAAAATGGATGGATAGTTTTAAATTTGCACCATTTGTAACTTGTACCATAAAACGAATTGACATTTGATGGTTTCTGTGTAACATTTTAGTGTAAGAAAAAATCAGTCTTGACCTTACCCCTTACATGTCTTTACACCATTCATTCAGCTATATATATATAGTGTATGTCTTTTTCACCAATTCTACGACTTTCACTTTATTTTTATTACAATGTTATTATGGGAAAGAAGCAGACTTCATTGTTTTAAGAATTATAGAAACAGTGCATGTTACATATATGTTATATGTATATGTTATAGTTTCAGATTCATTGGAGAAAGCAATGATGCTTGGAATGGTCAGTGGAACAAGAAGACAAGGCTACCAAAGAACGCGGTGGCTCGACACCATCAAAGCGGACACTAGCTTAGGTATAGAACAGCTGAAAGGGAAAGTCCAAGACCGGAAAGCGTGGCGAGAGATGGCCTATAAAATTGCCGAGAGTCAGATCCGACTGACCGGATAACATCATCATCATCATATGTTATAGTGCATGTTAAAAGTGCCCCTTAATTGGCAGTTAATCATAATATTTCAGCATACAGTTCTGATTTTGATTGCTTACTGACATCATATTACTTAACGAAATTGCAACAACACAATGCACCTTCCTCAAAATGTATTTTGCCCTTTTCTGAGCTTTCACATGTTAAAAAAAAAAAACAGTTTCTCAAATGTGGCAAATTGCTATGTTTATTTATATCTCAAATGAGTCAGTTAATAATAACATTACTTAAAAGCTTTTCATTATTAGAGGTGTCTCCAAGAAATAAACAGTATGAACAGCAATAATATATTTGATGAACAAAGTATCAATTATCTGACTCAAATAGACCTCTGTGTGTTGTACTGAATAATTGTCACTCTGCACCTGATAGTTCATCATCCTTTACTTAAGAATAAACTAAAGATAATGTCAATACATGGAATTTAAAAAGTGCATCATTGACGTAGACTGCTTTTGAATTACAGACCTTGAAGAACAGAACAAAATATATCAAATGTGAATCATTCTGTAAGGAATGCTTTCCGTACGAAAGAGTTTATGGCATCCCCTAGTGAATTACATGTAAAACAAGCGGCTTAAAAAGGGGGAAAAAGGTACATTATAAGATGTGTACTGTATGTCCTTTCTGTTCATCAGACTTGAA